TAATATGTATATCTAGATTTCAAGATGATTTATTGAACCAAAATTTTTTAGTAAGAGTTAATTGCAAAAATGCAAATTATGTTTTAGAAAAAGATGTCCAAAACATTGCATCAAAACAGATTTTTGCATGATGGCAAGCCTTATTAAGTGTTTTTTAGTTACATTCATGATTTCCTAGCCAGAGAATTTTTGCAGGGAAAAAATGTCAGAGAAAAAAAAATCCTGATAATCAATCTTCGAGGAGGCTCCCAGCCTCACTCAAACCAGTCAAACAAGAGTCACCTAAACCAGTTAAACAAGGAACATCCCTTGTTCCCTTTCCAGCCAGCTCCGCAGTCAACAGATTTATCCCTCTAGGCTTCACCTTAAGAAATTTCAGACTAAACTACCATTCAGCCCTGGTCCAACCCTACGATTCGTTCAAAGCACCAGTAACAACCTCATCTTTCCAGCCAATAAATTACAGTAAGACCTTTATATTCAAAAATCACCTAGTGAGTACCTATTTGGTATCCCGTCCAATCTTAGTAAAATTTCATCACTAGAAAAATTAGTCAAACCTAGTTTCCGCTCAACTTCCATTATCAGCCAGGAGACTATTTAAAACTCTTGATTTTTATAAAAGCATCTTGTTTGAAACAGAGTTAATGTCCATTAAACCAATAAAAAGCAATATTGATCCCATTAAGATCCTTTATCATTCCATCCGTATTGGAAAAATCATCATAGAGTCTGAATGGGAATCCCCATTTACAAATGCAAAACATCTCCATTCTCAGTTGCCACCCATCCAACATAATTATGATGATTTTATTAATGCCTGAACCAATATCTTCCTCTATCAAACAGAGGATTTTAGTTACTCTTGGTTTCTTAATTTGGACAAAAGATTTAGGCCAAACTTTCTAGCTTGGTTTCCCAAGTGGTGGTCAGCTCATGGTCCGACAATCAATCATCCCATAAACATTAATGCAAAGAGTCAAACATTTCCGTTCATGTTTTAACAGAGAAAAAATCTCTCTCCTTCTCCTTTTCATGGCCAAATACAAAGTTCCATGAATTTTGAAATGGGGTTACGAAGTCAACGATGAAGAAGGTTCCAGAGTCAGGTCAGCCAAATGGTGGAATGAATTCAACCAGCAGAGAATCTATTAAACGTTATGGGGTGACTGATGCTGAGTTTCTTCATCGCGATTTACTGAACTTTCTTCAGCCATGGCTCAAAGATGAAAGGAATAACACAGCAGCAAGAATAGCAGAGCTAGGTTACGAAAGAACCCGCTCTGATACCATGTGGAAATTTTAAGTTTGAATGTATTTTTCATAGATTGATTGAATGTACAAAGGGGGATATATAATGAGGTAGAAGGTTACAAGCAACCCTACCTTGGCAAATCCTATTAACCCAATAAACCCTAAAGCTGTCACTCCTTATATTAAGGGAGTGCAGCAAGTAGCTAGCACACAACTATCAACAAGTCATCTAGATGTCAATCTTCCTCAAATTAAGGGATTAGACTTTATAGAGAATCCCATGGAAAGAGGGAACATAAAATTTGGTAGCATCAGTCACCCCATACCTATATCATTTAATATCCATATGCAGCATTAATGGGGTGACTTATGCAGCATTAGTCACCCTATATCGTCTAATATCCATATGCAGCATCATTGGGGTGGCTTATGTAGCATCAGTCACCCAACCTTGCAGGATATGTATGGAAATCAAAATAATTATGCACAAGTTTTTCAACTTAAGCAGGACATTGCTAGTGCCTAATAAGAAGCAAAGGCGTTTGTTTAACACCTTGGGAGTCTTAAGGCCAAGTGGAATGAGTTGGATGTTTATCTCCCTTATACCACAAACCCTACCACTCTCCTAAAACGAGCTGAGGAAGACATAATCTATCAGTTGTTAGGGAGTTTAAACTCCGAATACGAGGACCTAAGGAGTCACATATTGATAAGTTAAGAATTGCCCGCCTTCAACAATGTTTGTGTAACTATTCAATGAGAAAAAGCAAGGAAGAAAGTGATGAATGTTGAGCACAGATCAAGATTGATTGAGACTCGTGCATATGCCTCAAACTACAAGACCTCAGAGGCAAAGGGGTACAAGGGAAGAAATACACACCTAAAATGCAAATACTGCAATGGTGTTGGTCATGTGGAAGACACTGGGAACTTCATCCTGGACTCAAGCCTAAATTTAGCAAAGATGGGAAGACGATACCAAAATCCTCACAACAATTTCACTCTCAACCCAAGGTCCAACTTGCTAATGCTCACTTTTCTACTGTTTCACAAGGATCCATGGAATTCATTGCCAATCCATTGTCACTCATCAATGAATTTGCAGCCTATCTTCAAAGTAAGGGACATAGAGGAGGTTCATAAGCTCAAGGCAAGGATGAGGGCAGTCATACAGCTATGTTGAGACAGTTTGCCAACTTTCTTGCTGGAAATGAGAAGGTATCACGAGAGGAAGCACCAGGTATACTCAAAGCCTTCACTACTACCTTATTGACTAGTACTGAAAATGATTGTTGGGTAATAAATTCAGGCGTCACAAATCATATGACAAACAAAGTCACAAACTTGCATCATTTTAAATGTTTTTCGAGTCCTTCACATATTTCAGTTGCAAATGGAAAAAAATGTCTTAGTTTTGGGCAAAGACGAAGTAAACGTACTCTCACACAAAACACCATCCACTGCCTTATATGTACCAACCTTTCATTTCCAACTTCTGTCAATTGGAAAAATCACAAACACCCTGAATGGCCGTGCTATTTTCTCAACAAATAATGTAATTTTTCAGGATGTTATCACCATGAAGATGATTGGTGAAGGGGTCTTCATAAATGAACTTTACTACTTGTGCAAGAATGTCTGTTTTTCTTAGGCTCTTCAAGCTCAATCGAAGTCCATAGTTGAAAACCAACTTTGGCATAAGAGATTAGCTCATCCCTCAGAAGCTGTGTTGTAAAAACTATTTCCACATTTTTGTAAATCTCATCTTACTTGTGATACTTGTCAATTTTCTAAGTTTACTAGACTACCTTTTGGTAGTTCAATGTCTAGGACAAGTAAACCTTTTGAAATGGAACACAGTGATGAATGGGGACTAGCAACTGAATTAATGGAAGGTTTTAAGCATTTTGTTCTATTTGTTGATGACTTTTCTCGAATGAGTTTTTTATATCTTATGAAATCAAAGAGAGAAGTCCCAAACGTTTTCAAAGACTTTCATCTACATGCAAACTCAATTTCAATCAAACATTATAGTCTTAAGATCTAACAATGGCACTAAATTTCTATCCAACAACATGCTTCAATACATAAGTTCTCAGGGCATCATGCATCAAACCAATTGTGTTGGAACTTCCCAACAAAATGAAGTAGCCGAGAGAAAGAATAGGGATCTCTTAGAGAAGACTCGTGCCCTTATGCTTCACATGAATGTTCCAAAGAAATTTTGGTCATTTGCAATCCACACTACCACTTATCTCATCAATTGACTCCCAAGTCGAGTGCTAGAGTTCAAATCTCCCTATGAAGTACTTAAAGGTAGAAAAATTGATTTGACACACCTCAAGGTATTTGGATGTGTTTGCTTTGTTCATATTCAATCCTTGAATCGTGACAAATTAGATGTCAGGGCTACCAAGTGTGTGTTTATGGGTTACTCTTTCACCCAAAATGGATATAAGTGCTTTAATCCAGCCACTAAAAAGTGTATTGTGTCAAGAAATGTGACATTTGAAGAACACTGTCCTTATTTCACTTCCAAAGGAACTACTACAAGTCAGGGTGAGGAATTGTTTGAATTATTTCCATTCCCGCAGAACTTTAATCATTCTGTGTTGGAAAAAAACTCAGTCTATGTGATTTCTGATGGTGAAGAAGCAAATTGACTCAGTCACTGCTAGTCTGATTCCTGCTTGTGAAGAGAATGATGAGTCTCACTATGATCACTCTCAACCTCTCACAGAGCCTCAAGTGATTAAAAGAAATCCTCCTCGAACAAGGAAATATCCAACTAGGTTGCAAGATTATGTTACTTATGCCTCACAGCACCCTATCAATGAAAGCATCAGTTTTCGTGAGTTCTCTACATCTCATGCTGCATTTCTCAGTGAAATTGATAAACACTGTGAACCTAGGGGTTTCCGAGAAGCATCACTCCTCCCATAATGGAATCAAGCCATGATAGATGAGCTTCATGCACTGGAAGAAAATAACACCTGGAGTTTAGTTCAACTACCACCAAGAAAAAAGGCAGTTGGAAGTCGTTGGATTTACAAGTTCAAATTCAAGGTTGATGGTTCTATCGAGACACACAAAGCTAGACTTGTAGCTCGAGGTTTCACCCAGACCTTTGGGGTAGATTACAAAGAGATATTTTCACCTGTGGTCAAGATGAATTCCATGAGGGTTTTATTTTCAGTTGCTGTAAATTGTGGGTGGTCCCTTTATCAAATGGATGTGAAGAATGTTTTTCTTCACGGAGAGTTACAAGAAGAAGTGTATATGTAGCCTCCTCCATGCTATAATGGTCTTGAAGGCAACATGGTGCGTAAATTGCGCAAGGCAATATATAGATTGAAACAATCCCCGAGAGCTTGGTATGGCAAGCTCAATTCAGTACTCGAGAAGGCTGGTTTTATGCGAAGTAATGTTGATTCCTCAATGTTTGTAAGAACTAGTACCAGTGGGAAATTAGTGGTTCTCATCTACGTGGACAATCTCATTATACAGAAGACAATGCTATTGAAATTAAGGCACTGAAACGTTCATTACATCAAACATTTGCTATCAAAGATCTAGGGTGGCTCAAGTATTTTTTGGGTATTGAAATGGCAACATCTTCAAAGGGGCTATTTCTACATCAACGCAAATATGTACTAGATCTTCTTCAAGAAGCAAACATGCTTGACTGCAAACCTACCATCACTCCCATGGATTACAAACTGAGGCTCAATAAAGATGGATAAGCTATGCATGATGTGAGTTATTACCAACAGTTAGTAGGTAAACTTATATATCTCATCATCACACGTCCAGAAATCACATATGCAGTGAGCGTGGCAAGCCAATTTATGCACTCTCCTACTGTTGATCACCTTCATATTCTTAAAAGAATTTTGCGCTACCTCAAGGGGTCAATAGGGCAAGGGATCATCATGCGGAACAATAAGTCCATTACCATTGGTGGATACACGGATGCATATTGGGCAGGGAATGTACTTGATAGAAAATCTACCACTGGTTATTGTACATTTGTGGGGGGTAATCTTGTTACTTGGAAGAGCAAGAAGCAACAAGTAATTGCTCGTTCCAGTGCAGAGGCTGAATATCGAGCCATGACAGCCACTGCATGTGAACTTAATTGGCTTAAAGGGCTTCTTTCAGACTTAGGGTTCCTTACTCCGTCCTCTATGTCCCTTATGTGCGATAATCAAGCAACCATGCATAGTGTTGCCAACCCCTGTGTTTCATGAAAGAACCAAACATATCGAAGTGGACTGCCATTTCATTAAAGCTCAAGTTTAAACTCAAGTCATACGGACCATTTTCACATGAAGTCATGATCAACTAGCAGATCTATTTACCAAGGCACTAGCATCAGCACCATTTCAACGTTTTTTTGGCAAGCTAGGCTCAATTAATCTCCTCGATCCAGCTTGAGGGGGAGTATTAGACGTTATGGGGTGACTGATGCTAAATATGACTGATGCTGCAGAAGTCACCCCACTGATGTTGCATATGGATATTAGACGATATGGGTTGACTGATGCTGCATAAGTCACCCCACTGATGCTGTATATGGATATTAGACGATATGGGTATGGGGTAACTGATGCTGCCAGATTTTATGTTCCCTCTTTCCATGGGATTCTCTATTAAGTCTAATCCCTTAATTTGAGGAAGATTGACATCGAGATGACTTGTTGATAGTTATGTGCTAGCTACTTGCTGCACTCCCTTAATTTAAGGAGTGACAATTTTAGGGTTTACCAGGTTAGTAGGATTTGCCAAGGTAGGGTTGCTTGTAACCTTCTACCTCATTATATATCCCTCCTTGTACATTCAATCAATCTATGAAAAATACATTCAAACACACTTAAAATTTCCACAGAATCTTTAAGCGGGTGCTCGAGGAATTCCCCATTAATCACAACCAATTATTCTGACATAGTCATCTATCAAGTAAAATTCAATATCATCTTAGTTACTGTTTGAAATTCTCCGCATCTATATAGGTCTTTTATCCAAAGGGATTCCCACTTTTTGATCAAAATGAGGATTAGTTGTGAGGTCTGCACCACATTGAAGTTCAATGATCCGAACCATTTATTTTTCAAGTTGCACTTTGCAGATTATCCTTGCAAAATATTTGCCAAATCGAAAATGTTTGAGGCATCTAACTGAGTTTAAAGAAATTGACGAACATTATGTTCTAAGAAACATTTAAATTTTATTGTGACGATCATGGGTAAATGATTTCAGATTGAATTAATTAATTTTTTTCAAAAATGATTTATGTATGAAGACTTAAAAAATAAGTCATCTAGATCGTTAAAGTTCGATGTATAATAGACTCCACAGCTAGTCGCTATTTTTACCAAAAAATGGAGACCATTTAGATAAAGGCTCTATATGTAGATATATATTGCATACCTCATGAGCTTGCCCAGTTTTCGTTGCAAAAGTTTTTCTCTTGGGTGGAGGAGACGCCAAGCATTAACCCCTCTTAGTTGTTGATGTATATGAAGTCTGAGTTTAATAAAGTTGATTTTTCATAAAAAAAAAAAAAAAAACAGAAAAAAACAATTATAAAGTCACTGGAATTACGGTTTAGTGGTCTTTCCATATGTATGTGGGTGTGGGACATCTTAGACCAACTTCTACTGATTAATTAATATTATTATTTTTTTATTTTTTAATTTTTTTTACCGAAATCTGAGATATTCCACACCTCAAAGGGTAGGACTAATTCTCAATGTGGTCCGGAAAGACTAAAGGTATTTCAACCCATTCCTGACTATAATGACACATGTCCTTCAAAGCTTTCAACCAGAGAATCACTGATATTTTTACCAGTTTCATGCCTCGAACCAAAGACCATAGAGCATACCTAACTTGAAAGTCTACCATATTTTTTCATCTGGCCACTTGTCGTGGTTTACTGATTACAAGTTCAAAAGAGGCATTATTTGAGTTAGCACGACCTCCTATCTTTAGTATCGTTGTATTAGAAAACAATTATATATTGGGCAAGTCAAAGGGCACTTTTGTCCTTGGCTACACGACTCAATTGTGCGTAATATGTTTCTACAATTTGCCTGTTTTTAAATCAGGTCAGATATTATAATGCAATCATAGCGTTCCACGATTAAATAATGCGTTTCAATATAATTAGCACATAGGAAGGAGCACATCTTCAAGAAAGAAAGAAACAAAGAAAGAGCAGTTATATATTTCATGTATAATCTTATCTTAAATCTTCAACACGGATTGTGTAACCATCATCTTGACAGGTGGACACATAAAAAAGTGAATATGATGTTGCAATTTTGGCACATTCATTGAGTTTAAGTTGTGCCTTATTTTTTATGTCATGGTTCATTTTCTTTTAAAATATAATGGTAATGTTGAGGAAATTAAATTTGTAGATAAAATTTTGTAAACTAAATAACATGAACGTTGATGATTGGGTTATTACTTAAGCGTTTATGAACTTGTTCATTTTTATTGGTGACACATCAATTAGTTTGTAAATTTTTTCTATAAATTTAGTCTCCCTATCATTAAATGAAAAACGTACATACAGAGTCTTTCTTCCCATTTCTTTAAAACCCTAATTTTTCATTTATACTTTATATTTGGTTACACTCCTTTCTTATTCTATTCATGTTTGTGAGGTATAACATACTACGCATGTACGTTTGCCATGAAAAGGAAAAGTCAATAGAGTATTTGTTGAAGAAACTAACTGAGAGTATGAATCAGTGGGTAAACAAGGAGCCAACTACCAAGCAGCTCGAAGTGACATTTAATTAACATGTGGTTCATTGTATCATATCTAGCAATAATTTACAAATAAAAAGTCAAATGCTAATTTGAGGACTAACCTTTTTGTTTAATTAAAAAATTGGTGGGTTAGATATAAGGTAGTCCTATCTACGCACATTTTTTTATCTCTCATGCATCCTTTATTAATTTTTGTGTTTTGATATTTTTCAATTCATTCGATCTGAAGGTTAAAAATTGAAAGGAATGTGTGAAAGATAAAAGAATGATGTATAGATAACACTGCTCTTAAATATGTACTATTTTTGCTGCTACAACACGGCGAAGGTAGACATAAACATTGTGGAAAAAATATTAAAACCATTCAAACATACGTGGGTTTCATTCTATTCTCAGCATATCTGTGTTCTTTCTCCGAATATTGAGAACCATTCAACAATCCGCACCCATTGTATGATTTAGGATGATAGGATCACCAGCAAGATTTACCATACATACGAACGTAATCATGCGCTTAAAAGATAACAAACTAGTACGTATAAGTTACACCAATTTGCTCAGTTTCTGACCTGTCTCGTTGTATCCTAATTCAAATCTCCTCCAGTTAATTGAAGTAGGTTTAAAATATATTCTTGTTAAGAAAGAAAAGCCAACAACAATGGCTCTAATATGGTCAGAGGGTCAACTTATTCTGCACATCTCATTGATAAGCACAAATTGGCTTGCTAGAAGAGTGAACCAATGATTAAGACAAACCCTAACCAGGCTTTGAATCTAGGGACAAGTTTTATTGCATGCATGTTATGCATGGTCCTATGGCATTAATGATTTTCAGTTCAGACACCCTTTCGGTCTGGGTAAGGAGTCCGTTCTGTGTAGTTTCTCGTGCAATGGGTCAGACTTAACCAAGTATCAAGCGTGTGGCTATATTAAGTGCCTTGTGATTATATCCGGTCAAATATGATTATGTCGGCTTCATTCAAGCAAAAAAAGTATGAGCATTGTTGATCTAAAGATAGGTGAAGGTCATTAGTTTGATTTGGAACACTCTGGTGATGCATGTAATTCCTCCAATTCACTCCAATTCCGAAACGTTTTTTAAAATAAAATTTGTTTTGGTGTTTGTAATCTAAAATCTGATCTTTTATTTGTCCTTAAATGGCTAAAGATTAGAAAAGAAAATAAGAGGAGATTACAAGAACTCCATGAATCAAACAAGTTGAATCCCATGTCACTCTCTTCCTATTTCTTCATTCTTCTGCACACCATCAGCAAGAGCATCTAGGAAGGCAAAGTTTTATTTTCGGATTTGAAGAGATAAGAAGAGAGAGAAATCAAAATGCTATCATAATATATAATTTTCATTATTCTAAACTTATAATTTCCTTTTTTAATTTGAAAATAGTCAATGAATCAATGCAATCGCAACCATTAAAATGGGTTTAACTAAGTGCCTAATGGAAAGCAAGCAAACAACGAGCATACATGGCAAATAAATCTACACTAACCTAGCTAAAGTTCTCGAACAAGAGTACCTCTTGTATTTGCAGGCAAATTCCGTTAAAAATATTTGTTCTTTGATGCTGTCCCTATACATACATATGTACATACATAGGTACATCCATAGAGGAGGCCTGAATGAGTTGTAGGTAGCAATTGCTTCGCGAGGAAGATGCTGGATCCCCTTTTTCCCGCTTCTATGTCGTTGTTTGATCTACTTGACTTTAAATGAAACGGCTTGCTTCACATGTTTAGGATTTTGAACACATGAATCCTCACGATCTGGGCTAACAAGTTTAAAGAGTCATACAGGCCACTAAGGGCTGGTTTGGTATTTCTATGCTTTGAAAAAAAGTTGATTCTGATGTGCTGTGACAATAAGCGGCTGTGAAATAAAGCAGCAGAGTGTTTGGTAAACTTTTTTGTAAAAGTGCTTTTGAAAAAAAAAAAAAAAAAACCAGTATTATAGTGTTTGGTAAACTTTTATGTAAAACAGATGTGAAAAAAAGCCGATTTTTCAAAGCTGGGTTTTGCAGCTTCTTGTTTTTGGCTTTTTTCACCCAAAACTGTGAAAAAAAAGCTGTTACCAAACACAAAAACAGCTCCCAGCTTTTTTTGATACCAGCTTTTTTCAGAATCACCTTAGTACCAAACCAGGTCTAAGTTGACCATTTATTTAGATGAGCTATGGAGAAAAAAATCTTAATGGAGAACAATTATCTTTAGATTTTTATAACCAAACAAAAAATAAACCCTCTTTTTGGTCCTCCATAACAGGTTGAAAAACTATCAATGTACTCATATATTTCGTTTGAATTATTTTTAAACCTTTTACATAACTTTCGAGGTTAGAATTCTGAATTCGCTATTGAGTGAGGGACTTATTCAAAGGAATTTAGACAAAGTGAAAAAGAAATGGATTTCTGTTTCTCTTCTTAAATTTACAAAAAAAAAAAAAAAAAAAATTTTACACGATAAGTATATAGTAGTAATTAATGTATGCATTTAAAGTCAAAATAATAATTACAAAAATCTTCCATAGTTTATCCCATTTCGTAGATAATGACGTCATCTGTATATTAGTTGCATCCTACGTTTATGACTGAAAAATCGAATTTAAGGTAACGTAGAGTGTGCTAAACAGAAAACAAAACGAAAACATACTGGTTGTGATCTGGTTGAAGTTTGAAAAGGACCATTAACTACTTATCTGAGTGGTTAAGGCCGCACCTAACACGAGAGAGATTGTCAAAGCCGACATAACTGACCACCGGCATGCTCAAACCCTAAAGAAAACATGCAAAGACTTTATCCAAGTCAATTTCATCCCTGCCCTCTTGTGTAGTTGTTATATAAAACCCCCAACACCCTTTCTCTCCCGTCGTCCCTTATCTAAAAGCCAACTACATTCCTAATTCCTTAACTATCATCTCGCTCCATCCAATCATATGGGCAATGCAGTTTCTCCCTGTTTCCAAAAAAACGCTAACTCAGATGTGAAAGTAATATTTTCAGAAGGCAGCACAAGACTCCTTAAAGGAAAACACATCGCTGGAGAGATCATGTTTGAGTTTCCAGACCAAATGGTTTGCCACGCAGACTCTTTCTTCATCGGCCACCCCGTTCCGGCTTTAGCCATCGACGACGAGCTCATGCATGGCCAGACCTATTTCGTTCTTCCGATTGATCGTTTCGCATGCAGCGTCCTCACAGCCTCGACTCTTGCTGCCCTAGGCTCATCGTCAAGCCCTAACAAGAAGGCAGCTCCTATCAATTTTGGGGAGTGCCCGTTTGAGTACATAAAGAGTTCGAATGGAAGGGTCTTGATCAAGGTGGTACCGGAGTTCATAACAAGGTTAATTGCAAGAGGTCACAAGAAAATAAATGGGTCGTCTGATGATGCTGCTAGTTCTGGTAGTAGTACTTTTCTTTGTAGCACACCTGAGCTGCAAAAACACTATGAACAGCTTGTTGTGTCTAAAGAGCAATTATGGTCGCCTAAGCTTGAAACTATTTCTGAATACAAGGTTAGGTTTTCACCATGTAAATATATAGGAAAGTGGAAACAAAAAGAGCAAGAACTCATCTAATTAATTTCCTTTTTGTTTTTACAATTACATTCATTTTTTTATCAAGAGAAAGGTTAATTTGTAAATTTACTGTTAGCTAATTAAGGGCATAAGAAGAAAGAAAGATTTGATAATTGTACCTATTGTTTTCTTCATTCTTGTCTATATTTATTTGTGAGTGGTACAAAATTTAATTGATGTTAAAGTATAATAGTTATTTTTTTTTAATTACGAGAGATATTTCTATTTTAAGCTACACTAAGAAAAGGAAGAGATTATGAATTCGGGATACATGACTAGCTTGAAGATGAAAACTAATCAACAAGGCAATCCAATACGTGCTTCTTTTTCTACAAGAGCAATCAACATGCCCTCTTAGTTGCATAAAATAATCATTTGTTTAGATTGGCTCATCTCTGTATTTGGTCATGTACTAGCCACTCTCTATTATTATACTTGTGGTAACCAAATTTTACCAGTTTCGGAGGAGAAAGGTTGACACCACGAATGCTACTTGACACATCCTGGTCCAGGCCCCCATCATATTTTGGGCTCAACTCTATTGTAGCACGATATTATCCGCTTTAGGTCCCTACCACACCTTCACGGTTTTGTTTCTGGGAACTCACACGAGAACTTCCCAGTGGGTCACCCATCTTGGGAATGCTCTCACGCGAACTCGCTTAACTTCGGAGTTCCACTGGAACCCGAAGCCAATGAGCTTCCAAAAAGCCTCGTGCTAGGTACAGATGGGAATATACATATAAGGCTTATAGGATCCACTTCCCTGGGCGATGTGGGATGTCACAATCCACCCCCTTAGGGGCCTGACGTCCTCGTCGGCACACATCCAGCAGGGATAGGCTCTGATAACAAATTGACACATCCCGGCCCGGGCCCCCACCTCATCCCGAGCTCAACTCCACCGTAGCATGATATTGTATGTTTTAGGCCCCTACCACACCCTCAAGGTTTTGTTTATGGGAACTCACACGAGAACTTCCCAGTGGGTTACCCATCCTGGGAATGCTCTTGTGCGAACTCGCTTAACTTCGGAGTTTCGATGGAACCCGAAGCCAGTGAGCCCCCAAAAGGCCTCGTGCTAGGTAGAGATGGGAATATACATATAAGGCTTATAGGATCCACTCTCCTTGGCGATGTGGGATGTTACAATCCACCCTCCTTATGGGCCCGACACCCTCGTTGGCACACATCCGGCCAGGGATAAGCTCTGATACCAAATTGGCACATCCCCGTCCGGGCCCTCACCACATCCCGAGCTCGACTCCACCGTAGCACGATATTGTCTGCTTTAGGCCCCTACCACACCCTCACGGTTTTGTTTATGGGAACTCACATGAGAACTTCCCAATGGGTCACCCATCCTGGGAATGCTCTCACGCAAACTCGCTTAACTTCGGAGTTTCGATGGAACCCAAAGCCAGTGAGCTCCCAAAAGGCCTCGTGCTAAGTAGAGATGGGAATAAACATATAAAGCTTATAGGATCCACTCTCCTGGGTGATGTGGGATGTCACAATCCGCCCTTTTTATGGACCCGATGTCCTCGTCGGCACACATCCGACCAAGGATAAGCTCTGATACCAAATTGACACATCCCGGTCCGGGTCCCTACCACATCCTGAGCTCGACTCCACCGTAGCACAATATTGTCCGTTTTAGGCCCCTACCACACCCTCACAGTTTTGTTTCTGGGAACTCACATGAGAACTTCCCAGTGGGTCACCCATCCTGGGAATGCTCTCGCGCGAACTCGCTTAACTTCGGAGTTCCGATGGAGCTCAAAGCCAATGAGCTCCCAAAAGGTCTCGTGCTAGGTAGAGATGGGAATATACATATAAGGCTTACATGATCCACTCCCCTAAACGATGTGGGATGTCACACTACTTCTTGTACAATAAATCACATAAAATTAATATTAGTATACCACAATATTATTAACACAATTTATCAAATAAAATAAACCAAGGGCGTGTTTACGAATCCATAATCAAATTGAGAGGAATTGAATTCAAGAGGAATTGGATTGAGGAGGAATTGGAATGAGGTGGAAGTAGAATTAGATTCCTGTTAAAGTTGTTTACTAAAACTGTCTGGAATCGGAGAGGACTGATGTTGGTTCTATATAAGTTGTTTACTAATTCACTGGAATCAGAATTAAAGCTAGCATGATTAATGAATTGCTCTTATATAAATAAATTATTTTTATACTAATTAATCAAACTAATTTATTGTTGAAAAAAAAAAATCAAGCTAATTTTATATACCAAAATTTATCTATATATAAAATAATTAAAGAGGTTTCTTTTTGTTAGAAGATGGTTATTTCCATTTGCCCCCCACCACCCAAAACCCTCGTGTTTGTCTTCCCCACACCACCCCTTTCATCCTGAAGGCTTTATTTTCCTAGCTGCAATAGCCCTCCCCCATCCCCGCTTTTCCTTGCCCTCCACCCTGATGCGAAAATAGTTAAGCACACAAATTAACCCTCTTGTTGTCAAATTGTAGTAAGGATGCAAGTAGGGATCGTTCTGGACCGGGGATTAGGAGGGCTTACTAAAACCTCTAAACTGACTTAAAAACATAAAAACAAAGTTTAAAAACGTCCACAAAGACTCAAAGGACTCAAAACACGTTCAAAAGACTCAAAACTGCCTAAAAACACTAACTAGGCAGTTTCTGACCTTAAACACAATTTTGGACGAATTTAAGATTATGGTTTGATTCAAAACACTTTAAAACACAAACTAAACAGATTCTAAACACTATAGAACAAGAAAGTAAAGGGGGGGTTTTGATTTGACGAAAATTGAAATAACAAAACAAGTTATAAAACTAGGCAGATTGTAAAATGAATTTTGGAAACAAGATGATGGATGGATTAGTTAGAGGTCCATTCTCCACACATGACACATTTGTATATGAATCGATTTTCCAATTGCTTTTCACTAAATATGATGCTCAACACCCCAAGTTAACCGTGAACAGCACTTTTTTAACTTTCAAGTTTTCCTTAAGTTATTGAATTGGATGGGAATGCGCATACAACAACTCAAAACATTCTCTAAAAGTCCCTTACATGAAAAGCACAATAAAGGTACAATCAAAGATCATTAAGTTTCATGAAAACTATAAGTATTGACGAGGCAATTGTTACTATGAAAAGCATGAAACTCTTGCTAAGAATTCAATTAACGCGGTTGTGACTAGCAACCTTCACTACTCATGTTTATAAACTTGTCACGACTAGGTGAAACTTGTTTATAAACTAGCATCAAGTTCATGCATGAAAACTAAGTATGCATCCTTAATCAACATACAAGAACAAGTTTTTAATAAACAGATAATTGAATTGCAATCACAACTTAACAAATCACAATTGGAAGAAATCAATTCATATTTCAAACATGTTCATGGCTTCAAACTTTCCCCTAACTAATTAGGGGTTTAGCCACTCATGATTACAGCAAACTCAGAGATTAATAACAAAGTAAACATTGAAAACAAGAACGAAGTACACCTAAGAACACTCCAATCTGCGAGCATGGAATGTTCAAGGCCTCCTTCCTCTCCTAATTGCTGCGGCACAAGAGGTTTGGTGAGTTTAGGGGGTTATGGATGATGTAGAATGATGGATTTAGGTTTGGGATGGATGTAGGGGACGGCAAAGGTTGGTTTTGGGCAGAAAATATGGAGAATGGTAAAGTATGGATGTGTTAGAGGGAAGGGATGAATTTCTGGCGTGAATGGTGAATGAATGAATGCGTTTGTGGCTGCAACAAGGAGGTTTTATTATAGGATTTCAGGAATTAAAATCCTAGGTTATTTAGGTAATCAGAAATTAAGTCAAAAGCTTTTAGAAATAGGAAATCAAATCAGAAAAGTGAAGGAAACTACCTAAAAGTTGCGGCCAAGGGATTAAACACAAAAGGAATGTGTTTTAATGCAATGAAATAGGAAAGAACCATCTCCCTTGCACGGCAAGGCTTGCAAAGGAAATAAGTATGTGTTTAATTCCCCAAATCAATTCTAATAATCAGGAATTAAGTTAAATCCCTTTAGAATAGGTAATTGAAATCAGGAATTAGGGGAAAAGGGCTAAGTCTTGTGGCAAAGGGAGGAAAAGAAAGGGAAAGTGCAATTAAACTTGTAGATTTTGGGAGAAAAGGAATGTATAGGTGCGGCTAAGGCTTTTAAGAAAGGGATTGTGACATAATCTTGCAGATTTTGGGAGAGAAAAGAAAGGTAACTCACGGCACAATTTAGGACATGTCTAGGGCTTCTAGAACATGTGATTTAGGCAACCAACATTATTTGGAAACTTGCACAATTGGAAACCTTTCAAGAATAGAAACTCCCTATAATGGAAACTGGTTTCCAAATCTTGATTCCTCCTTCTTCCTTCGATTCTAGGCTCACTTGGTCTTCAATTTCGTCCAACACTTTGGCTCCAAGCATAAGCTATCCATCCTTAGCCCAAAAGTGCTCCAAAAGGCTCCAAAATGCACTTCTTTGCTCCTTTAGCCCTTAGAACCTGAAAACATACGAAAATGGCTTAAAAGACTTAAAGAACTAAGAAAACACAACGTAAATGCATGAGAACAAGCCAATTAAGTCGCATAAATATGCTCCTATCACACCCCAGTTACACCTATAGCCACCACCCCTAGCCCCAATTTCTGAAACCCTCCATCTCTCTCCTTGATGCCCTTCCTCTCCACTTTGTTTGTTACTCCCACCATGGCTCGCAATGTTGTTCAATCCAACACGTTTGTGAAAGCCAGTGAGTAGGTCAAAGTTAAGAGATCTCATATATGCTTCCTGAGCGGGTCGCCTACTATCGATCGTAGTGGGTATGATGTTTGGCTAATGGGTCTTTTTTTTTTTTTTTTTTTTTTTTTTTTTTTTTTTTACTTTTGCATTTTCTCTAAATTTGAAATTTTGATTGTTGAAGTCGAGGATGGGTGCGATAATTCTACATATGGTGGTTGTTATATTTGTGGTGGTTTTAGGAGGGGTTGTGATAGGCGTGGTGGGTGCGGTTGTTATTGTGTCCATTCATGGTGGTAGATTTGGGAAAGACAGAAGATTGAGAAGGTGGTTTGGGGTTGTAGAGGGGTTGGAAGGTAAAACTGCAAGGGGTGTTTCGGAATTAGAAAAAAACTATAGGGGTAATATC